AAAGGGTAAGGGTAAAAATGTGCGATATTTGAGTGTATTTAGGACTCAATTTCGTCTATAGAGTCACAAAGCCCTGAAGTATAACCTATATAATGGAAAGAGCATCATCAGAATCAGTTCAAAATGAAGGCATCGATTACTTATTCTGTCACCAAGGCGGCGCCACGTAAACATGAGGTGTAACATTTGACAGATTTCATAGCGGGGTAGTCGATTGTTCGAAAAATGTAATAGGCTGAAGTTTTTTCTCTAATATTAGTTATTTTTTATATTATTTGGTTTTAAAATAAACAAACCTACCCACAGATATCGATAAAAAAAAAAATGAGTCAAAATGTGCTAAAAATTGAAGGACACACCATTAAGGCACTGTTTCGTGTGTTAATGTAACATTCGTACGTGTACGCGTAGGTAATATGTGTAAGTACGTGAGGGTAATGTGGTCATCCGGTTAATATGACCAATTACTTTATTATAACTCAAAAACCAGAGCCTTGTTTGCATAGATGCCTTTGTGATACGATGCGCTTTTCATTAGTCTATCAAATAATAAGGGGTCGAAATGGCGTTGCTCTGTCAACGCCATTTTGACAGTAGACATTATGGTTAATATTTTAGTCGATTTTAGTATTTGTACTAAGTAGTTAGTTCTTTTTAAACTCATTTTTCTAAGTGTTCCAAATTATTTCCAGAGCTTGTTTGCTATTTATTTCTTAATATATTAGTTATAGCATACGAATTTGTATTTTGTCCATGTCCTGCTCCTAGTTTTGATTTTACAGGACGAAAGCGGGCTACATAAGAGACGATATCGGTGGCGATCTAGGGTGGAAAGAAATCGGGGCTTTTATCGAGGCAGACCCTACACACGGGCCTGCCTAGCAGTACGCGTTTGGACTTGGAGCGGAACGCATATGCGGTAGAGTTCTTCAAAATGCCTCCGACTCTCTTAAAACACCAACGTGTTGGTTTGGAATTAGCCATCTTGGTTAATTTAATCGAAAATAGAAAAAAGGGAGTTGCTGGGTGAAAAAATGGATCCAAAGGAGACAAAAATAAAGCCACATAAACGTACTAAATGGTCTATAATCCAAAGACATGGTTAATTTTCTCCGGATGGATGAAGACAGTTTTTATAACCTAGAATTTTTCTATATTTATGATTTCGCAACTTATATATAATCATCAATTTTTCCTACCTATGCTATATTTAGTTATTTCTTCTCTTTGTTCATTTCTGCTTTGTTCAAAATCGGGTTATGTACTACACACCACAAACAAAGAAATAAAATAATTTTGTATTACAATATGTATACTTTTTTTAATGTAATCTTTATTTATGGATTAAAACTATCAAAAAATAAAATAGCTCATATCTTTTTTTTTAACATAAAGAAACCTTTAATTTCGGACATACTCCCTTCTATATAGCTTGTTTGTTGATGTAGAGATGGTGAAGGAGTAGGAGTCAGTTGTTGATGAGAGGATGAAGGCACGTAAGAGATCGAAGTGTGGTCTTGTGTTGATAGCGTGGGAATAGGAGTTAGTTGTTGAGGAGAGGCTTTATCCTCTCCTTACTTACTTCATACACCCTACTTTATGAACGGCAATAAAACAATTAGTTTAGTACTACGCTACCAAAACAATTAGGCGCATTCTGAACATGGCGGCTTGAGGACTAGTGAGGGGAACACTTTCATCTGTATAATACCAGGTGATACATAGTATGAGTACTAGTATGTACTACTCGTAGTTATTTATTTTAATTAATTACAATAGCTACGTTTGTGAATTTAACTGCATCATAGTGTTATGTATATATGACAGGCATGTTGGTCTAGTGGTTAGTGACGCTGACTGCTATGCCGGAGGTCGTGGGTTCGATTCCCACCCAGGACAAGTGTTTGTGTGATGAGTACGATCATTTGTTCTGTGTCTGGGTGTAATTTATCTTTAATATTTATGTATTTAGAAATATATAAGTATGTTTATCAGTTGTCTAGTACCCATAACACAAGCTCTGCTTAGCTTGGGACTAGATGGCGTTGTGTGATAGTTGTGGAATATTATTATTATTGTTATTATTATGGGGTATCTATATAGTTTTCTCATCTGGTTGGGTTCTATAAATATATAATTACAAATGAAAATGAAAAAAATAAATATACATAAATATCAATAACATAAAATAAATATAAAAGTACATAAATAAATAAAAGCCCAACCAGATGGAGGCCCTCGGCAGGGGAGACCAAACGGCCGAGGGTTAGGGGGAAAGAGAAAGAAACCGGCGGACGATGCGGGCGGTATCGAGGAGCACCGCCTTCTGCATTTGAACCTGGAGCGGTCCGCCACGTAGTCCCAGCCGCCTCAGATGACCCGAGAGGCTGACTGGGATTAGCCCGTTTGCAGAGACGACTACAGGAATAATTTCGGTCGGCAGACCACCCCACATGTCGGTCACCTCGTGAGCCAGGTCCAGATATTTTGTTTGCTTGTCTGTTTCGGCTTTCACGAGGTTCTCGTCATACGGAATGGTAATGTCGACCAAAAATATCCTTGACTGTGCCCGGTCCATCAGCACAATATCAGGCTTATTCGCAAGAATAGTCCTGTCTTTGATGATGGCCCGGTCCCAATAGAGCCTGGCGCGATCATTTTCGAGCACGGCTTCCGGCAAGTACTTGTAATACGGCAATTTCCGGTCCACGAGACCGTATTTCAGAGCGAGCTCCTGGTGTAGAATTCTGGCTACTAGGTTGTGCCTGTGCAAGTATTCAGAGTTAGAAAGCGCCGAACAACCGGAGATAACATGCCTAAGTGACTCACCGGGATGGCGACAAGCTCGACAGATGTCGACGGTGCCATCCTTTAGGATGTATCTCCGATAGTTGTTGGTCTTAATAACCTGATCCTGTATTGCACAGACAAAACCCTCGGTTTCCCCGAAGAGATCACCAAAGCGAAGCCAGTGGAGGGAGGCTACTGTGTCTACGAAAGGCTCATGTAGAGCCTTGTAGAACCTCCCGTGGAGCTCCTTCTCCTTCCATATGGTCTCCCGGTCGGAAATGCTCTGCACTGCCGGGTCTTGCCATTGCTCGTTGGCTAAGGATAGAGGGGTAAGTCCTTTATCACAAGAAATGACGTCCTTATAGAATGGATCATCCGATCTCGCCAGGAAGTAATCACGGAGGCTGCACACTTCGTGATTATGCATGGTGAGCGCGCTCAAGAAGCCACGACCACCATGCTTCCGCGACAAGTACAGCCTCATTACCGACGATCTCGGATGATGCATCCTATGGGACGTCATGGTAGTGCGGACTTTTCTATCCAGGGCGTTAAGTTCAGTCTGAGTCCACCTGAGTATGCCAAAGGTATACATGAGGACAGGCATTTCCCAGCCGTTATATGCGTGTGCCTTATTCACACCGGACAAAAGGCTGTTAAGCACTTTGGTCAAGCGTGCATAAAACATGTCACAAACTGACTGTTTCATACCAGCCTCATCGATACCGATGTTCTGTGACATACCCAGGTATCGGTATGTTTCAGCCTCGGAAAGGGTCCTTAAGTTGACGGGCATAGATAAATCTATGCCCTCAGAGTTAGCAACGCTTCCCTTTTCAACATGGAGGACCGCACACTTATCCGTCACAGCTCCATTTCAATGGAATTGCTAAACTCACAAGTGATTTTCAGCAACTCCATAAGATGGGAGCGACTGGAGGCGAATAACTTAAGGTCATCCATAAAGAAAAGGTGGGTCACTTATGTCCCTCCTTTCCGTGGCTGAAATTCTCTCCCGGGTCCCTCCAGTAAGGTACTGAGAAGGTTCAGGGAGAGGCAGAACCAGATTGGACTCAGACAATCGCCCTGGAAGATACCCCTTCTTATCCTTATGTGGTTCTCCGCAGCCATCATCCGCTCACCCAGATGACAAAGGATCGTACTCCACTGCCCCATACACTGCTCGAGGAAGTCTCTCACTGTACAGTCTATCTTGTATACAGCTCGAGGACTCTCTTTAGCCATGTATGGGGCACCGAGTCGAATGCCTTTCTGTAGTCTATCCAGGCGGCGGAGAAATTCCGACGGTTGCGTTTCACCACTTTGCCAATGACCGCGTCAATGAGGAGTGGTTCCTTAGTTCCACGACCACCACCCCGACATCCATTTTGAGCGCGTGACATTACCTGATTTAGCTCCAGGTGACGAGTGATTCTCGCGCTCAAAATGGATGTCAATGTCTTATATATGGTGGGTAGACACGTAATGGGACGGTATTTGCTCGGGTCTGTGGTAACCTGGTCTTTAAGAACCAAATGAGTGATCCCAGTAGTGAAGAGGCTAGGGAGCAACTTCTAGTTGAGAGTCTCTTGAAACTGACGGGCGAGCACAGCGTGACACATAATGAACCCCTTCAGCCAGTAGTGATGCAGTCCGTCGAGTCCCGGACTTTTCCAGTTCGGGGCTCTACGGACCGCCTCAGCTACGTCATCCGGCGTTATGATGACGGGGTCCATGGGCGTAATACTCACACACTGACTCGCCACAACTTCCGTCCAAGGGCCCTCGCTGTGGTTTACGGGCTCTGACCACAGGCCACGCCAAAATGCGACAGTGTTAGCCTGATCCGGTCCTGGGCCCGCTCCACATACCTCTGGGCCCGTTCCACTTACCCCGTTGCCCGTTCTTCTGATCACTCTGGAAGAGACGATTCTGGTTGAACCGCCTTGACCTCTCAGTAAATCAGCGAATCCGCTTCCCCCAAGCAGCAATCTTTTGCTTCAGGTCGTCTATGCGCTCCGTTAGTTTCTGCGTGATATCCGGCTGGGACAAACTGATATTTGTCCCAGCAAACGCCATTCTAACGGTGCGCACAACCCCTCGGTCTATTATTACCCGACCTGAAGCTTATCAGTGTACCAATAAGGGCCCTTGCCTTTGCGATACGGTCCTCAATTCTTTTTCTCCAGGCTGGGATGGCGCTACTTTGTTTAGTAAGCGCGTCCAGCCATGGGAAGTTTGGCGCCAATAATACGGCAAGCTGCCACTGTGGCGCCAAAAAGAACTGAGTCCGTCTCGCAAAGGTCCCGGCTGGCTTCCAAATAGGTTACCAGCATTGGGTTAAGAGCCCTCACGACAGCCCGATTTCGCTTGCTTAGGGGTATGCGGGGAAGTCGCGGTCGATTTTCGAGAGGCATGCTGCGCGTTTCCAAAATCGCCTCTTCCAATATACTCTTCATTTGCTCTAGTTCGTGGGAGACCATTTCATCATCGTCCGAATCAACCACAACTGGAAGATCCATGGCGGCTTCTACGCGTGGCAGCTGGTCTGTCGCCTGAGGAGCCGCATCCCCAGCCGTAGCCAATTCATTCGATGAGGGAATGGCCTCACGTCGTAGTCGTTCAAGTTCGGCATCATCAAATATTTTCGAGCGCATGATGTACCGAACTCGGTCTGCCAGGTTTTGTTCCGTGACGGGAATAGACGGCTCCAACTCAGCAAAAAAGCAATGCATCCGAGCCCGATACGCTATCCCCGCAGTTTCTTCCCCTTTCGCCCTATAGTACGCCCGCAATGCGTTTGCGTTCATATCCCTTGTCCAACGCATGCGGCGTACACCACCAGCGGCGGATGCCACTTCCCGAGTCCGAGAGGACCCTACCGACAACAAGCCGTCGATGATGAGCGGGGGCTGTTAGGTGATCTTGCAGCTCCTCGCGCTCGGCTGGCGGCCCGCATGCTGCCGCGTCCAGCGCCAGCTCCAGACGCGCCCCGTTATTATTATTATTATTGTTATTTATATTTTCTACGTTTTCTCAGTTTGTTTTTAACAAAACTGGATTAATGGTTATTACCACGGGAGAAAGCCAAGTGGATACCATGAACTAGTTAGTTATGGGTAGTTTTCTGTAGAGATAAATTTTCTAACTATTCTACAAGTATTAAGTAAAACTGCTTTTTGTAATTGAATATATGTTAGTTTTGGTAAATCTAAAGTTTTTAATGATTGATGAAGCGCTTTTGGTATTACACCAGTTGTAGAGAGGACTATAGGGACTATAATGGCGTTATGCAAATTCCACATTCTAATAATTTCATGTTTTAGTTCAGTGTACTTGGAAATTTTTTCATTAATTGTTGTCTGTAAGTTATGTGAATTAGGTATAGCAATGTCAATAATAAGAGCACATTTATTCGTTTAATCTATTAATGTTATATCCGGTCTATTAAAGTGTATTGTTTTGTCAGTAAGTATAGCTCTGTCAAAATACATTTTGTGAGTGGTATTTTCAAGGACTATTTCTGGTTTATATTTATAGTATACTTGAGTTGGCTAGTCAGTTAATTTATACTTAAAGGCAAGTTTTTGGTGAATGATATTGGCTACTTGATCATGCCGATACTTATAGTCCGTCTGAACAATCGCTTTACAGGCACCAGTGATGTGTTGAATTGTTTCTGAAGCATTACAACAGCGTCTACATGTGTCGGTATGTAAATTTTTTATTTTAATAATATGCTTTTGATAATTGCGTGTCTATATGATTTGGTCCTGAATTGCGCACATAAAACACTCAGTCTCAGGGAAAAGCTCACCACGTTGAAGCCATGCGTTCGACGCTAATTTGTCTACGGTAGGTTGGTTCAAATCATGGCGATGTCTTCCATGTAGAGACTTTTGGGTCCATATGTCAATTTTTGTGTTGTTATCTGTAAGTAACTCATTTTTTTGCAATGTTTTATCATGCATATTAAGCGGTGTCAATTTATGATCATTCTGTACTATGGCATTGTGTAGTGATGATATTGCTGTTTTATCATAAAAGTAATTTCTGAGTGTAGTTATTTGTCTGTTATGTAAGTTAACTATGTCTATTACCCCTCTTCCTCCTTCATTTCGTGGCAATGTTAGTCTTTGTATGCATGATCTTGGATGGTGTTTACGGTGCCTCGTAAGAGATGTATTTATTTCGCGTTGTAGCTTTTTTAGTTCAGTTTTGGACCAGTGTATTATGCCAAAGGAATAAGTTAGTATGGGAATTGCAAATGTGTTAATAGCTTTAAATATATTCTTAGAATTTAATTGAGATGTTAATACTAAGCGAAGTCTATATCGAAACTGATCTGTTAATCTATTTTTAATTTCTTTATGATGTATTTGTTTAGACTGATTATATCCTAAATACTTATACACTCCATTTTCCTCTAAAGATTTGATTTGCTGTCCTGTTTGCAACTGATAGTTATGTTCGTAATACTGTCCAGCTCTTACTGAATTAATGTTGCACTTATCAATACCAAATTCCATTCCTATATCTCGTGAAAATTTTTCCGTTAATATAACTAATTGATCCAATTCATCTTGAGTAGTAGCATATAGTTTTAGATCGTCCATATACAAAAGATGACTAAGTTTATTTTCTTCCTTTTTAGTATGTAGATGATCTTGTGTTCTATGGTATTGTAAAGAGTACCCTATGTTTTTTGAGTTTAACATTTGTGATAAGGGATTTATTGCAAGGCAGAACCAGAGAGGACTAAGTGCATCCCCTTGAAAAATACCTCTCCTTATTGCAATAATATCTGTTTCTATCATTCCATCTAGTGAGTTAATTTTAAGTTTCGTTGTCCAATTGGTCATCGCAGCCTGTAAAAATTGTATTATGTTTGGGTGTATTTTGTATATTTCTAAAATTTTTAATAACCAAGTGTGCGGGATTGAGTCATAAGCTTTCTTATAATCAATATACATGCTAAATAAATCTTTTCTTTTTGATTGTACCTGCTTTAATACTACTGCATCTATTGTGAGCTGTTCTTTGCAACCCTGACTAAATTTCCTACAACCTTTTTGTTCTTCTGACAATATGTTATTAGCTTCTATGTGTTCATAAATGGTTTCAGTTAAGCAAGATGTAATTATTTTGTACAATGTTTGTAAACATGTGATAGGTCTATATTTTGCAGGATTGTCAAGATTACTAGGCTCTTTTGGTATCATATACGTTATTCCTGAACTAATGTATTGCGGCAAAGTATGCGGGCTTTGTATGAATTTATTAACAAAATTAAACAGAATCGGGTGGATAGTTGTAAACTTTTTTATACCAATAGTTATGTATATTATCTGATCCAGGTGTTTTCCAATTATGCAGTTTTTTAATTACTTTATGGAAAGTGTCTATCTTGATGTGTTGAAATTGCATGGCTTTAATCTGTGATATGTCTATTTGATTTTTGATCCAATCCGCTTCTGTATTATAATGTTTAGGTTCCTCCCATATTGTAGACCAGTAACTGTGTAATTCTCTCGGTGATGGTAAGATATTATTTTCGGAGCTTTTCAAACTGCTGATTTTATTTTTAAAAGGATTTTTTATATTACGGTAGAAAAGTTTTCCATTTGAGCAAAATAGAATGTTTTGAGTTTTTTCGTAGAGAGCTTGCTCTATATCTTTTTAACCGACTACTAGTAAGTTTTAGTTTTTGTTTAAGTGTGTCTAAAAATGTTCGTGTTTGGTGTTATGTTCTTCGTGGACAGAATGAATTTTATGTTGTTCGAGTATAGAATTTACGTGTTTGATTAATTTTTGACCTCGGTTTCCATTAATATATTGTGTTAGCCTTGCAATTTTTGCTCTTAATTCACTTACTTTGTTTTCTAATCTTTGTTCCCACTTTGGCTTATTATATTTCTTTTGTTTCTCAGGTCCTAACGGATTATCAACTTGTACAGCTATTTCAATTTTAGCTCCGTTGAGCTTAGCTGAAGTCCATGCTGCACAGTACACTAAATTCTGAAATGTTTTAAATTCAATTTCGCTGTTGATATATTGTGGCAATAAAATATTGTTTACATAGGCAACTATTTTACTCAATTTTTTTGATGACCTCTGCTTTGGTATAAATTGTCTTTCTGTTGGGTTTGTATTAGCAAAATATTCTAAAGCTTTAGCAAACATTTCATCTATGGCAATTATCTTTTCCCTATGTAAATTTTCATTTTCATTTGTTGTGTGGTTTTCAGCATTTAAATCTAAACTTTCTGTATCTGGTTCTTCGTTGTCTGTGATACCTATCTGAAGTATTGAGTTGTCATTGGCTTGTATATCGTTATGCTGTTCTTGCAAGTAAGTAACATTCTTAATTAATTCTAAGCGGTCAACACTTAAATATTTCTTATGTAGAATTAATCTTCTTTGGTCAGCTATGCGTTGCTCTGTTAAATGACTTAAATGGGGGAATTGGTTTATAAACTCTTGGTGTAAGATTTTCCTATATGCTATTTTATTTTTCTCACATTGAGTTATTTTGTAGTAAATTCTTATTATAGCTTCATTATATTCGTCTGTCCATTTCATGCGTTGTTGTGTTTGTAAATGGTGGGTATTAGTGTGTTGATTATTTTGTGTAACAGAGATTGATTGGGCAAATGTAGTCTGTAAATTTGATTGATTCACTTCATTATAAATTTGATTTACTATTTCTTGGGGCAAAAGTTTGTTATTCATTATTGCTCTTCGCTGATCTCCTATTCTTTGACGAGTAACTTGCATATCTGGGAATCGTTCTATAAATTTCATGTGTAATGGTTGTAAATAACCTTTAGTGTCAGTATCCATCATTGTTAAATAGAGGTAAGTACGCAATATAAATTCATTCATTTCAGAAGTCCATTTTTTACGCGTGTTACGGTTACTGATGGTGGGCACAGTTTCTATAACAGGAGTTATTTTCTGTGCATCATCCTTCAGCAATTCTACTTGGCTACTTGATGATAATGAAGAAGATAAAGACTGGTGTGAAATGTTTGGTATTGATTTTTGTCTATCGATTCCGGGGGTATATAAACTATCACCATCACTAAGGGTATCATCGGTGTCCGTGGATCTCGCTTGAGTCGTTTGACGGGAAATCTTCCTCGCCCGGAGATTGTATGCGCCCCAAGATACAGCACCATCTCGGCTTCCGCCAGAGTCGACATGGTTACTGAATCTGCCGGGCACTGGGGGCCGTAGTTTACGCCGCGCACTCATTTTTTTAAACCTGGTTTGGGATCGTTAGTTGGGAAAGGGTCATTAAATATTAATAGGCATAGAGATTATTCTGCCTTGTTATTGTTACAGAGTATAGTTGTTCAGACTGCAGTTGAGTACATGCCTTTCCCTTAAGCCCCCCCACCACGACAAGGTGATCCCGTAGGGGGGGTTATTATTATGTGTGGGGTATCTATATAGTTTTCTCATCTGGTTGGGATCTATAAATATATAATTATTAACGAAAATGAAAGGATAAATATACATAAATATCAATAAAATAAAATAAATACAAAAAATACATAAATAAATAAAAGTCCAACCAGATGGAAGCCCTCGGCAGGGGAGACCAAACGGCCAAGGGTTAGGGAGAAAGGGAAAGAAACCGGCGGACGATGCGGGCAGTATCAAGGAGCACTGCCTTCTGCATTTGAGCCCGGAGCGGTCCGTCACGGAGTCCCAGTCGCCACAGATGACCTGAGAGGCTAACTGGGATTAGCCCATTCGCAGAGACGACTACAGGAATAATTTCGGCCGGCAGACCACCCCACATGTCGGTCACCTCGTGAGCCCGGTCCAGATATTTTGATTGCTTATCTGTTTCGGCTTTCACGAGGTTTTCGTCATACGGGATGGTAATATCGACCAAAAATATCCTTGACTGTGCCCGGTCCATCAGCACAATATCAGGCTTATTCGCAAGAATAGTCCTGTCTGTGATGATGGCCCGGTCCCAGTAGAGCCTGGCGCGGTCATTTTCGAGCACGGCTTCCGGCAAGTACTTGTAATACGGCAATTTCCGGTCCACGAGACCGTATTTCAGAGCGAGCTCCTGGTGTAGAATTCTGGCTACTAGGTTGTGCCTGTGCAAGTACTCAGAGTTAGAAAGCGCCGAACAACCGGAGATGACATGCCTAAGTGACTCACCGGGATGGCGACAAGCTCAACAGACGTCGACGGTGCCATCGTTTAGGATGTATCTCCGATAGTTGTTGGTCTTAATAACCTGATCCTGTATTGCACAGACAAAACCCTCGGTTTCCCCGAAGAGGTCACCGAAACGTAGCCAGTTGAGGGAGGCGACTGTATCTACGAAGGGCTCATGTAGAGCCTTGTAGTACCTCCCGTGGAGCTCCTTCTCCTTCCATACGGTCTCCCGATCGGAATTGCTAAGCACTGCTGGGTCCTGCCATTGCTCGTTGGCTAAGGATAGAGGGGTAAGCCCTTTATCACTAGAAATGACGTCATTATAGAATGGATCATCCGATCTCGCCAAAAAGTACTGACGGAGACTGCACACTTCGCGATTGTACATGGTGAGCGCGCTCAGAAAGCCACACCCACCATACTTTCGCGGCAAGTACAGCCTCATTACCGACGATCTCGGATGATGCATCCTATGGGACGTCATGGTAGTGCGGACTTTTCTATCCAGGGCGTTAAGTTCAGTCTGAGTCCACCTGAGTATGCCAAAGATATACATGAGGACAGGCATGACCCAGCCGTTATATGCGTGTGTCTTATTCACACCGGACAAAAGGCTGTTAAGCACTTTTATTTATTATTATTATTGTGGAATATCTATATAGTTTTCTCATCTGGTTGGGATGTATAAATATATAATTATAAACGAAAATGAAAAGATAAATATACATAAATATCAATAAAATAAAATAAATACAAAAATACATAAATAAATAAAAGCCCAACCAGATGGAAGCCCTCGGCAGGGGAGACCAAACGGCCAAGGGTTAGGGGGAAAGGGAAAGAAACCGGCGGACGATGCGGGCAGTATCAAAGAGCACCGCCTTCTGCATTTGAGCCCGGAGCGGTCCGTCACGGAGTCCCAGTCGCCACAGATGACCAGAAAGGCTAACTGGGACTAGCCCATTCGCAGAGACGACTACAGGAATAATTTCGGCCGGCAGACCACCCCACATGTCGGTCACCTCGTGAGCCAGGTCCAGATATTTTGATTGCTTGTCTGTTTCGGCTCTCACGAGGTTCTCGTCATATGGGATGGTAATATCGACCAAAAATATCCTTGACCGTGCCCGGTCCATCAGCACAATATCAGGTTTATTCACAAGAATAGTCCTGTCTGTGATGATGGCCCGGTCCCAGTAGAGCCTGGCGCGGTCATTTTCGAGCACGGCTTCCGGCAAGTACTTGTAATACGGCAATTTCCGGTCCACGAGACCGTATTTCAGAGCGAGCTCCTGGTGTAGAATTCTGGCTACTAGGTTGTGCCTGTGCAAGTACTCAGAGTTAGAAAGCGCCGAACAACCGGAGATGACATGCCTAAGTGACTCACCGGGATGGCGACAAGCTCGACAGACGTCGACAGTGCCATCGTTTAGGATGTATCTCCGATAGTTGTTGGTCTTAATAACCTGATCCTGTATTGCACAGACAAAACCCTCGGTTTCCCCGAAGAGGTCACCGAAACGTAGCCAGTTGAGGGAGGCGACTGTATCTACGAAGGGCTCATGTAGAGCCTTGTAGTACCTCCCGTGGAGCTTCTTATCCTTCCATACAGTCTCCCGGTCGGAAATGCTAAGTACTGCTGGGTCCTGCCATTGCTCGTTGGCTAAGGGTAGAGGGGTAATCCCTTTATCACTAGAAATGACGTCATTATAGAATGGATCATCCGATCTCGCCAAGAAGTATTGACGGAGACTGCACACTTCGCGATTATGCATGGTGAGCGCGCTCAGAAAGCCACGCCCACCATTCTTTCGCGGCAAGTACAGCCTCATTAGCGACGATCTCAGATGATGCATCCTATGGGACGTCATGGTAGTGCGGACTTTTCTATCCAGGGCGTTAAGCTCAGTCTGAGTCTACCTGAGTATGCCAAAGGTATACATGAGGACAGGCATGACCCAGCAGTTATATGCGTGTGACTTATTCAAACCGGACAAAAGGCTGTTAAGCACTTTGGTCAAGCGTGCATAAAACACGTCGCAAACTGACTGTTTCGTACCAGCTTCATCGATACCGATGTTCTGTGACATACCCAGGTATCGGTACGTTTAAGCCTCGGAAAGGGTCCTTAAGTTGACGGGCATAGACAAGTCTATGCCCTCAGAGTTAGCAACCCTTCCCCTTTCAACATGGAGGTCCTCCATGTTGAAAGGGAAGGGTTGCTGTATGGGGCACCGAGTCGAACGCCTTTCTGTAGTCTATCCAGGCGGAAGAAAAGTTCCGACGGTTGCGTTTCACCACTTTGCCTATGACCACGTCAATGAGGAGTGGTTCCTTAGTTCCACGACCACCGCCCCGACATCCATTTTGAACGCGTGACATCACCTGGTTTAGCTCCAGGTGACGAGTGATTCTCGCGCTCAAAATGGATGTCAGTGTCTTATATATGGTGGGTAGACACGTGATGGGGCGGTATTTGCTCGGGTCTGTGGTATCTTGATCTTTAGGAACCAATTGAGTGATCCCGGTAGTAAAGAGGCTCGGGAGTGACTTCTGGTCGAGAGCCTCTTGAAACTGTCGGACGAGCACAGCGTGACACACTATGAACCCCTTGAGCCAGTAATGATGCAGCCCGTAGAGCCCCGGACTTTTCCAGTTCGGGGCCCTACTGACCGCCTCAGCCACGTCTTCCGGCGTAATGGTGACGGGGTCCATAGGCGTAACACTCGCACTCTGGCTCGCCACAACTTCCATCCAAGGGCCCTCGCTGTGGTTTACGGGCTCTGACCACAAGCCACGCCAGAATGCGATAATGTCAGCCTGATCCGGTCCTTGGCCCGCTCCACATACCTTTGGTCGCTCCAATGATTTATAGAGCCTCTTCTGACCACTCTGGAAGAGACGATTCTGGTTGAACCGCCTTGACCCCTCGGAAAATCGTCGAATCCGCTTCCCCCAAGCAGCGATCTTTTGCTTCAGGTCGTCTATGCGCTCCGTTAGTTTCTACGTGATATCCGTCTGGGACAAACTGATATTTGTCCCAGCAAACGCCATCCTTACGGTGCGCACAATCCTCGGTCTATTATTACCCGACCTGAAGCTTGTCAGTCTGCCGATAAGGGCCCTTGCCTTTGCGATACGGTCCTCGATTCTTTTTCTCCAGGCTGGGATGGCGCTACTTTGTGTAGTAGCGCGTCCAGCCATGGGAAGTTTGGCGCCAATAATACGGCAAACTGCCACTGCGGCGCCAAAGAGAATCGAGTCCGTCTCGCAAAAGGTGCCGGCTGGCTTCCAAATAGGTCACCAGCATTGGGTTAAGAGCCCTCACGACAGCCCGATTTCGCTTGCTTAAGGGTATGCGGGGAAGTCGTGGTCGATTTTCGAGAGGGGTGCTGCGCGTTTCCAAAATCGCCTCTTCCAATATACTCCTCATTTGCTCTAGTTCGTGGGAGACTATTTCATCGTCGTTCGAATCAACCACAACTGGAAGATCCATGGCGGCTTCCACATGTATTAGTTCTCTGGCGTCTTGTAGTCCTTGTTTCTCCCAGTACTTCTGCCGTAACCGGTCTACATGGTTAATTTGCTTTATCCAATTTTGCGTAATTGACTGTATGGCCTCCCTGGTTAAAGATTCGATAAGTCTTTCTGACTGTTCCACATTTTTGTCGGCAATCCTTTGTTTCATTATGTTCCAAATATACTCAATAGGGTTTAGATCACACTGGTACGGCGGCAGTCTGAGAACTTCGTGGCCGCTTTCCCTCAAAAGTTTGTCTACTAAATATTCTTTTTTCTGGTCTGTTTCGAATTATCAAGTAATACAACTCTGGCTTTGTCATGCGGGCATTTTTTGAAGTCAACTAGTTTTGCATTTCTTCCTTGCGAGACGCCATTGAGGGAGGCTTATTTAATTGTTTGCTATGATATGGAGCATTGTCAATAACTACAATGCTGTTGGGTGGCAAATTTGGGATCAATTTTTCACTTAACCATTTTATGTAGTTATTGCTGTCCATCTCATCATGATAATCTCCTTTTGAGCTCTTCTCTCTTCTCTTGAATCTCTCCTCCTGAAATAAAAAATTACAACTTATTTCACATTATATTTCCTCTGATATGTCTCTTGATGAATGAGTCATAATATTATGCAATGTCTTTGTAGTGAAAGCAGGACACAAAAACAATCAAATTGACGTTGACATATATAATATTATATTAGATAAACTGCAGGATGCGGGCTACGCAGGACCGTTAATCTTTGGGGGAGGCCTATGTCCAGCAGTGGACGTCTTGTGGCTGACACGACGATTAGATAAACAATATTCCTGCTGAGAGATTTTTGTTTAATATAAAGTCAATAATAGCTCACACCTCAGGAATATTTTTTATCTTTATCGCAATCGAAAAGTGATAGGTGATAATCAGTACTAAGAAAAGTAAGAAAACAATAGGTACTAAAAACGAAAGAAAAACAAGGAAAGTTTTTCATACCTGCGTGAACTACTATCCACGCTTTTTTCCTGGAGTAGACAGTTTTACTGACTCTGTTGGGGCTTCGCTTAAAGTACTCGGTTGCGGTTCACTTTCAACTTCAAGTCTTCTTCGTTTGGCAATCTCGTTTTCCTCTTCACGTTTAATTTTGGTCAGTGTGCGTCGACTTACACCAGTAGCAGCACACACTCGTTTGTCTACTGCTGTTATTGGAATAGTGATTCCTCTTAACTTTTCTTCCTCAAAAAAAATTGAAATATTCTTAATATGATGGTCCTTTCTGACCCACGGATTGTTCTTTTTTTACCCATTGTGAGATATTAAGAATATAATCACCAGTATAATAATATGTTCTAGCTTCGTAACTAGTATGGTGTTCTCCTCACTAGTACCCGAGACGTCGGCCGCCGCTGCCGCCGTGAAGCTTTTTTTGTTTTGGTTGCGAAATACACACAACACAGTAGCAATTAACGATAAAGTAAACTCAAAACAAATAATAACAAAAAGTAACAAGATAACGAAAAACAACTAATTAATAACAAAAATCCCGCACAGACAAACACCAACGCTTAGAGCAAGTATCCGACTGCGCCGATGCAGTGTTGCCGCTACTGAATTCCCAAAATAAATATACCATTGCTGAAAGTGTGTATTTTGGGTCCCCCTATTCACTCGTTATTTTTTAAGTTCAAATAATATGAAATTTGGATTCCAATACGCATGTCATGTTAAAAAGGTACGTGAAAGAGGATCAGGCACAAGTCAGAAAATCCATTCAAAACCTATATAATGTTGTTCCTTACACTCATACGAGCAACATACTTTTTGAATCATTGAAATCGGTCCATTCGTTGTGTTGTGATGATATTACACGTTTTATAAACGATTACCACGGGGCGGCCTAAAAGCCCGTGTGACGTCACAACATCTGATCCCGCCTTCATGTAAGTGAGGTTTCTACCATGAAGATAGAAACTAACCTAGGTCACTTTACACAAAACCGATTTCTAGTTTATTTTTTAATTCATTATTATTATATCATCGAACTCATTAATTATTATTACACATCAATTTCTAAAACTACCCTTATTATTTGTCAGACGTGGTGAAAATTTTTTTACTGTTTATTCTAGTTTCTCAAGTTCTATGAATCTGTATTCATAACTTAAATCTTGATTCTTCTTCAATATTAGTAACCTAGTAACGAAATGACGGCAACACTGTACCGCAGAAAGTAATTATTACGCGTCACTATGGGACGTGCGGGACGAGGTGCGGGGTACAGGGCGCGGTAACCGCATTCCTGTCATGCGCCTAATTGTTTTGGTAATGTAGTAGGCATTCTTGACTTCGCCAGGTCACAGGCTAGGGTGGATATGATTTGAATTTCAATAGATTTTAATTAATTTATTTATTCATTTTTTTTTTGTTTTTTGTAAAATATCAGTGCCATAGGCTTCTACTCCGTTCACATGATTAAAATGTAAAAAAAAATATTATGTAAAAAAAGGTCATTCAGTATAATTGTTCCGTTAACGTACTTCCGCGAGGGCTGCCGGCAGCGACTGCCAAAAGAAATCGGGCCGATGCAGCTACACACACACGCAGTACGGAGGGGGCGGGGCCCCGATCTAGGAAGCATCGGCTGCACTTTTGCTCCTGCCAGTCGATTAAGGAGGCGATATCGGCCACGACTTAGGATGGCCCTACATACGACACGATTTAGAGGCAATCTAGGAGGCATCCCCACTACTCCACCCTAGATCGCCACCGATATCACGTCGTATGTAGCCCGCTGAACTTAACTTAAGGGTACACTAGTCACTCATTCTTCCATACAAACGTAGGCTGAGAATTACTCCACTGTTTGATGGTGTACGTTCAAAATAAAAAATGATTTCAATTTATCTCATCATTATCTAGCCTTGTATGGAAACAAAAAAGTAAAAAAAATATATTTAAAAGTACTAATTTTAACACATCTTTGGGCTGATATAAATACCATAAGAAGAACGAAAATTGCAAAACAGTTACCATACAGAGATAGATTAGGTAGGTATTCAAAAGTGCAAATAATTTTATTTTGAACAGATACATCCAATAGATTTTTCATGATATCCAGATTCCCAAAGGTCTGTTTATAAAATTTCGCGCGCTCGTTTTGTTGTAAATCATCATGTCTTTCGCTTTCGCAAGTGATGTAACCCCGCCTACCACTTAGTTCGCGCTATCGACTAGGGCCACCTTAAGGTGACCATATTACCCTCACGTACCTTACTCTAAAAACTGATATACTCTTATTTATAATAATAATAATAAAACCAGCCAGCCAGGGCGCGTCTGGAGCTGGCGCTGGACGCGACAGCATGCGAACCGCCAGCCGAGCGAGAGGTGCTGCACGACCACCCATCAGCCCCTCGCATCCATCATCCCCACCAGCTGGCAGGGTCTTCGCAGGCCCAGCAATCGGCACCCGCCACTGTTGGAGTACGCCGCATGCGATGGACAACCGAAATAAACACTAACGCATTGCGGGCGTATTTTAGGGCGAAAGGGGGGAGATGTTGCAGGTTTTGCGTATCGGGCTAGGATGCATGGCCTTTTTCCATCTTTAACCGTCTCAGAGCAAAACCTGGCAGACCGGGTTCGGTATATCTTGCGCTCAAATATATTTGATGTCGCCGAACTCGAACGACTACGACGTGAGGCTGTTCCCTCATCGGATGAAAATGCTACGGCTGTGGATGCGGCGCTACAAATTGCAGAGCAACCCGCAAACGTGAATGCCGCCGTGAATACCCCAGTTGTGGTTGATTCAAACGATGATGGAACAGTCTCCCAGGAACTGGAATTAGAGCACATGAGGAGTACATTGGAAGAGCCGATTGTGGAAACGTAGCAGTACGCCTCTCGAAAATCGACCGACGACCGATCGACTTTCCCGCATAGCCCTAAGCAAGCGGAATCGGGCTGTCGTGAGGGCTCTGAACCCAATGCTGGTGACCTATTTGGAAGCCATCCGGGACCTTTGCGAGACGGACTCAATTCTTTTTGGCGCCGCACTGGCAGTGTGCCGTATTATAGGCGCCAAACTTTCCACGGCTGAACGCGCTACTGGACAAAGTAGCGCTATCCCAGCCTGGACAATAAGAATTGAAGAACGTATCGCAAAGGCTAGGGCCCTCATCGGCAGACTGATATGCTTCAGGTCAGGCAACAACAAGCCAAGGATTGTGCGCACCGTCAGGATGGCATTTGCTGGGACAAATTTTAGTTTGTCCCAGCCGGATATAATACAAAAACTGACAGAGCGCATAGACGACCTGAAGGAGAGAATCGCTGCTTGGGGAAAGCGGATTCGGCGATATACCGAGAGGTCGACAGGGTTTAACCAGAATCGTCTCTTCCAGAGTGATCAGAAGAGGCTCTATAAATCGTTGGAACGACCAATGGTAAGTGGAACGGGCCCAGCACCGAATCAGGCCGACACTGTAGCATTCTGGCGCGGCCTGTGGTCAGAGCCCATAAACCACAGCGAGGGCCCCTGGACGGAAGTTGTGGCGAGTCAGTGTGCGAGTATAACGCCCAAGGACCCCGTCATTATAACGCCGGATGACGTAGCTGAGGCGGTCCGTAGGGCCCCGAACTGGAAAAGTCCGGGAATCGATGGGCTGCATCACTACTGGCTGAAGGGGTTTGTGGTGTGTCACACTGTGCTCGCCCGACAGTTCCAAGAGGCTCTCAACCAGAAGTCGCTCCCGAGCCTCTTCACTACTGGGATCACTCATTTGGTTCCTAAAGACCAGGTTACCACAGACCCGAGCAAATACCGCCCATCACGTGTCTGCCGACCATATACAAGACAATAACATCCATTTTTAGCGTGAGAATCACTCGTCACCTGGAATCAAATCAGGTGACGTCGCGCGCTCAAAATGAATGTCGGGGCGGCGGTCGTGGAACCATAGAACCACTCCTCATATACGCGGTCATTGGCAAAGTGGTGAAACGCAACCGTCGGAACTTCTCCGCCGCCTGGATAGACTACAGAAAGGCATTTGACTCGGTGCCCCATACATGGCTATAGAAGATCCTCGAGTTGTACACGATTGACTGGACAAAGCCGCATAAGGATAAGAAGGGGTATATTCCGGGGCGACTGTCTGAGTCCAATCTGGTTCTGCCTCTCTTTGAACCCCCCTCAGTACTTTACTGGAGGGTTCCGCGAGGGGATTTCAGCTTCGGAGAGGAGGTACAAAAGTGACCCACCTCTTCTATATGGATGACCTCAAATTATTCGCCTCCAGTCGCTCCCATCTTATGGAATTGCTAAACATCACTTGTGAATTTAGCAATTCTATTGGAATGGAGCTGAGGACGGATAAGTGTGCGATCCTTCATGTTGAGAGGGGTAGGGTTGCTAACTCTGAGGGCATAGACTTATCTATGCCCGTCAACTTAAGGACCCTTTCCGAGGCTGAAACATACCGTATGTCACAGAACATCGGTATCGATGAGGCTGGTATGAAACAGTCAGTTTGCGACACGTTTTATACACGCTCGACCAAAGTGCTTAACAGCCTTTTGTCCGGTGTAAATAAAGCACACTCATATAACGGCTGGGTCATGCCTGTCCTCATGTATACCTTTGGCATACTCAGGTGGACTCAGACCGACCTTAACGCCCTGGATAGAAGAGTCCGCACTACCATGACGTTCCATAGGAAGCATCATCCGAGATCGTCGGTAATGAGGCTGTACTTGCCGCGAAAGCATGGTGGGCGTGGCTTCCTAAGCGCGCTCACCATGCATAATCGCGAAGTGTGCAGCCTCCGTAATTACTTCCTGGTGAGATCGGATGATCCATTCTATAATGACGTCATTTCTAGTGATAAAGGAATTACCCCTCTATCCTTAGCCAACGAGCAATGGCAGGACCCGGCAGTACTAAGCATTTCCGACCGGGAGACCGTATGGAAGGAGAAGGAGCTCCACGGTAGGTACTACAGGGTTCTACATGAGCCCCTTCGTAGATACAGTCGCCTCCCTCAACTGGCTACATTTCGGTGACCTTTTTGGGGAAACCGAGGGTTTTGTCTGTGCAATACAGGATCAGGTTATTAAGACCAACAACTATCGGAGATACATCCTAAAGGATGGCACCGTCGACGTCTGTCGAGCTTGTCGCCATCCCGGTGAGTCACTTAGGCATTTCATCTCTGGTTGTTCGGCGCTTTCTAACTCTGTGTACTCGAAAATGACCGCGCCAGGCTCTACTGGGACCGGGCCATCATCACAGATAGGACTATTCTTGCGAATGAGCCTGATATTGTGCTGATGGACCGGGCACAGTCAAGGATATTTTAGTCGACATTACCATTCCGTATGACGAGAACCTCGTAAAAGCCGAAACAGATAAACGAACAAAATATCTGGACCTGGCTCACGAGGTGACCGATATGTGGAGTGGTCCGCCGGTCGAAATTATTCCTGTAGTCGTCTCTGCCAATGGGCTAATCCCAGTCAGCCTCTCGGGTCATCTGAGGCGACTGGGACTCCGTGACGGACCGCTCCGGGCTCAAATGCAAAGGGTGGTGCTCCTCGATACCGCCCGCATCGTCCGCCGGTTTCTTTCCCTTTCTTCCTAACCCTCGGCCGTTTGGTCTCCCCTGCCGAGGGCTTCCATCTGGTAGGGCTTTTATTTATTTATGTATTTTTGTATTTATTTTATTTTATTGATATTTATGTATATTTATCGTTTCATTTTAATTTAAAATTATATATTTATATAACCCAACCAGATGAGAAAACTATACGGATACCCCAATAATAATAATATGAGCGCGCTCACCGTGCATAATCGCGAAGTGTGCAGCCTCCGTGATTACTTCCTGGCGAGATCGGATGATCCATTCTATAATGACGTCATTTCTAGTGATAAAGGGCTTACCCCTCTATCCTTAGCCAACGAGCAATGGCAGGACCCAGCAGTGCCTAGCATTTCCGACAGGGAGACCGTATGGAACGAGAAGCAGCTTCACGGGAGGTACTACAGGCCTCTACATGAGCCCTTCGTAGATACAGTCGCCTCCCTCAACTGGCTACGTTTCGGTGACCTCTTCGGGGGAAACCGAGGGTTTTGTCTGTGCAATACAGGATCAGGTTATTAAGACCAACAACTATTGGAGATACATCCTAAAGGATGGCACTGTCGACGTCTGTCGAGCTTGTCGCCATCCCGGGGAGTCACTTAGGCATGTCATCTCCGGTTGTTCGGCGCTTTATAACTCTGAGATTGTACCTGTGCAAGTAGCACAGGTACAATCTAGTAGCCAGAATTCTACACCAGGAGCTCGCTCTGAAATACGGTCTCGTGGACCGAAAATTGCCGTATTACAAGTACTTGCCGGAAGCCGTGCTCGAAAATGACCGCGCCAGGCTCTACTGGGACCGGGCCATCATCACAGACAGGACTATTCTTGCGAATAAACCTGATATTGTGCTGATGGACCGGGTACTGTCAAGGATATTTTTGGTCGACATTACCATTCCGTATGACGAGAACCTCGTGAAAGCCGAAACAGACAAGCAATCAAAATATCTGGACCTGACTCACGAGGTGACCGACATGTGGCGTGGTCGGCCGACCGAAATTATTCCTGTAGTCGTGTCTGCAAACGGGTTAATCCCAGCCAGTTTCTCTGGTCATCTGAGGCGACTGGGACTCCGTGACGGACCGCTCCGGGCTCAAATGCAGAAGGCGGTGCTCCTCGATACCGCCCGCATCATCCGCCGGTTTCTTTCCCTTTCCCCCTAACCCTCGGCCGTTTGGTCTCCCCTGCCGAGGGCTTCCATCTGGTTGGGTTTTATTTATTTATGTATTATTTATTTATTTATGTTAGTATATTAAATATATGGTAAAGATTCGAAATTTACTCAGGACGTTTTTAAAAAGACTTTATTAATAAACTTTTAACTATTAATGTGCGATACATTACTTATATACCACTTAATTAATCCGCGATGTATTCTAACCTAAGGCTACTTGTGCGATACATGTGCGGAGCCAAACTAAGACTATCCTAATTCTTATTCTAGATCTTTAAGCTAAAGAACAATTATCAGTATCCACAGGAAAGACCACCCGTCTTCCAGACGCAATTTAGCAATCTACGCCCACGCTTACGCTTGAATTGTTATGGTCTCCGGTGCAGTTCCGTGAATACCGGGATGCATAACTCTTCCCCCTCAGATTCGAAATTACCAGGCGAAGTTTTCCGAGTCCAATAATTTCGATACAAATATTTTTTACATAGAATTACAATTATTATAACTAAAATTACATATAAAATTAATGTCCCGATACTTATGTCCTTCACATTTATGACACTTTCACTTTGCTCACTTTTTACACTATCACTGGTTAATATGTGGTTTAGCTGCTGTAGATTGGTCAGGTCCACGTCATCCAGGTTTACTGCTGCTGGATTTGAAGATGTCTTCATTACTTCATTATCAACTGTGGTGTTTCCGGAAGATTTATTATTGGTAAGGGAGTTAACGGGTACTCCTCTATATTTTCATGATGCCTTTTCAGACTGAATCCCTTGATTTTAGCTTCGCAGTAGTCGTCGGCTGAGATTATATATGTCCCAATTAAATTATAGTGTGATAATTCATTTCCACATTGTTTGGTAAGTAATACTGTAGTTTTTGAATAGAACATCCATCGATCGGTTTCTACTTTCATTATCTTCACATCAAACATCAAACTCTACTAATAGGGGCCGGCACGAGGTGGTGTTAGCTGCAAAACTCATTAGGCTAGTTACACAATTATCTTTAATTAACATAGATGAATAATGCTCATCACACAGGAACAGTGTGTCATCAATTTCTTTACACGGGTGAAGAAGTGACACCGCTTTCAACCCTTTCATCAGAAGGTATTTAGGTACAATAAGGGATGTTTGGTTCATGGAATTAGTGGTAGGTAAAGGAAGAATTTTGTAATATATGTATGTATTTGAATCAACTAGGGGTATATCTAGAATAAAGGTTATTTGATTTTCCTTTGAATATACTTTTAAATCTATACTTTGCTCTAATTTTAAAATATTTTCTACTTTTACAGGAAATACAAGATTATTTTTTAGTTCAATAGTTTTTAACAATGACAAGAGTTCATCGGTGTCAATAATAGACTGGTGCAATGTTCCTAGTTTACTAAAAGCTACCGCTGTTTCAATTTCATCCAGTTTGATATATATAGTTTGAAAGTTATGTAGAAACAGGTTATATACGTTAGATATTTTAAGTTCCGTTTGAGAGTTTTTTGTTATATTAATTTGTTTTCTCATTTCCCCAAGAGTTTTATCCAGCTGTATGAAATTGAATTTTGTACTATTTGTAATATTAATAAAAGTTTTCATCATTTCGGCGACCACTGTCATTTTTCTATTAATAAGCATCGTACCTTATGGCATCATCATTGTCCAAATTACCTGTATAATAATATTCCGCTGGTATTTCGGGTTCGTTACTATAGAATATCTCGTTATCTTGGGGAACCCTAGAGTCATCTAGCATATTTTGTCTTATCGGACGTGCGGTGCGCATAGAGACATCGGTATTTTCATTTAAATTTTGTTTTTAGGAATTCTGATTGGGTATACCAAATTTAAAATTATTTTGAGGTTGATTTATAAAAGCTAGTGGGGGTCGCGCATGATTATTCATGTGTGGCTTAAATCCCTGATGTTGTTGAGGTATGCCAAATTTAAAATTATTTTGCTGGTTTAGAATACCAAACTTTAAGTTCTGTGTTTCCGTATTATTATTACATCTTGGGGCATTATTAAATTATTTG